ATGGGACTAAGCAGAGGCCATGGGTAGAGGGGACAGCTGCAGGTGGGGACCACAGACACAACGGTTCTTGGCTCAGACAGAAAGCTGGAGGAGGGGTGGGTGGCTGTGGAACTCGGGATCCAGAATCAGTCCCACCCTGCATCTGGGGTTGTTGAGGAGGCAAAAGCAGAGCCCTAGGGACCTAACCTCGCCTGGAAAAGACCCACAAAGAACCCCAGTCCGCAGAAGGAGCCACATCAGCACAGGACGGAGGTGAGACAGATGGGGGGCAGGCTGCGCTCCTCTGACCCCAACTACCTCCCTTGGAGAACTAGTGCTCCAGACAGAGGCCCAGCCACCCAGGAAGCAATGTTGATTCCTGCCCTGCCTCAGCTAGCTGGGTGACAGTGGGCAAGCCACTTGGTCTCTCTGGGTTTCCATTACCTCATCTGTAAAATGGGGCTCAGCGAGATTTGGTGGTGTATGGCTGTAACCCCACCACTCTTGGGAGGCTGAGGCTAGAGGATTGCAAGTTCAAGCTGAGTCTGGGTGCCTCAAGAACTCAGCGAGACTGTCTCAAAATAAAAACAATTTTTTTTTTTTTGTCTTTTTTGAGACAGGGTCTCGCTGTGCAGTTCAGGCTGGACTTGAGTTCACTTTGCAGCCCAGGCTGGTCTCAAACTTGCAATGATCCTCCTGCCTCAGCCTCCCAAGTGCTGGGATTACAGGCATGCGGCACAATTTTTTTTTTTTTTTTTTGGTACCAGGAATCGAACTTGGGACCTCACTCTTGCCAGGCAGGTGGTTGTGCCACTGAGCTATATCCCTGGACAGGCACAATTTTTTTTGTCTTTTTTTTTTTTGAGACAGGCTCTCTCTGTGCAGTTCAGGCTGGGTTTGAGCTCACTTTGGAGCCCAGGCTGGTCTCAAACTCACAACAATCCACCTGCCTCAGCCTCCCAAGTGCTAGGATTACAGGCAAACGCCACCACACCTGGCTCAAAATATAAAACTTTAAAAGTGTTAGAGATATAGCTCAGTGTGAAGGCCTTGCGTTCAAGGCCCAGGGCTCCCCGTCCTCCAACAAACAGTAGCTGTGCCTTGACAGGGTGGTGTGAGTCTCTGCAGGACATGTGTAGCAGTACGCGTAGGCTCACATCTGATCAACAGTTCCTGTGAACCTACTGTGCACCAGGCCCTGGCCAGGATGCCCACTAGGACAGAGGCACTGTAGGGTGTGTGATACACCCTTCATATTGTGCTCACCATCAAGGACAGGCTGCTTCTGGGGTGGCCAGGGCAGGTGGCACACTGCAGCTTGCAGCCCAGAGCCAGCCTGCTGCCTGTGCCAGCTCAGTCCACAAAGAATGATTTTTACACTTTAAATGGTTGGAAAACAAGTTATAAGGAAAAGAATATTTTATGACTCGTGAAAAATGTATGAAAACCCAGCTTCAGCATCCGAAAATCATGTTTTATTGGAACACAGGCATCCTTGTTCATAAACTGTCAGTGCAGCTCGCTCACTACAAGACTGGAAACCCACATATTTACCCCTCCCTCCACCCTCCTTTTGTAGTATTGCAGAATGAACCCAGGACCTTCCCACTGAGTTAGTTACAACCTTAGCCTTTTAGAAATTTTTTATTTTGAGACAGAGTCTCACTAAGTAGTTAAGTTGCCCACTCAGTCTGCATTCAAACTTTTGATACTCCTGCTTCAGCCTCCCAGAGTGCTGGGATTACAGGTATGCAGCACCATGCCTGGCTCTCACCTGGCCTTTTTCTGAGAAAGCTCACTGGTCCTGGGAGGGCATGTTTAAAGCCTCTCAGGAAAGACAGAGTGGAACTTTCCCAGCTTGGTAGAGCACCTGTGGCCAGAGCAGAGGTCGGGGGAGGCTGTAAAAAGGCCACCACACCTTGACACCAGAGAAGGCCCTTGTCAGTCCCACCGCAGAAGGATGAAGCTGCGGGCAGACTGGCTCTGTGGTTGCCGTCAGCCAGGTGCCACCCGCACAAGCCTCCCGCACAGGGCGGGGTAGGGACACAGAAGCCCTCTCTGCTTGTCCCAGGATAGAATGAGCTGCAGATGGAGCTCCAGGGCTTGAAAACCAGGATGAACCCTCCTGCCCAAGGAAACTGGGGAATCCTCTCCCCTCTTCTGTGGGGCTTTACTGCCCCTTCCTCTCCGCCAGGACCAAGATGAGCTGCGGGGTAGGGAGAGGTTACCAGGGGCTGCTGTTCCCAAAGTCCCCACCTCAGGCCACCCGGTAAGAATTCTCTCTACCTCTGGCTCCAGGCAGCAGAAATAGGTGGTGCTGATACAGCCAATCCAGCATGGCCTCCCACACCTGGCTGAGGGGCGCCAGTGTCACAGGTGGGCTCCACATGGTCTCTGGGAGCTGCTGCCAAGGGGGCGAGTGTGTGGTCGGGGCTTCCACAGAGGCTGGGTGGCAGGAAGCGCTCAGGGGATACCTGGGCCCCAACCATCCTGTCTTGCTGGGAAAATTGGAGTCCCATGCACCCCTGGGCTGTCCTGGGGTTGGGTGAGGCTTACGGCTCATGTCAGGCAGCAGGCCGCTTCTCCACTGCATGGTGCTCATCTGAGTACTTCCCTAGGCTGGAAGGAGGAGATGGATTCTACGGAGTAGCTGCTCCTCCTGGCCCTTCCTCACCCCACCCAGATGTGTGTAAATCCAGAGGTGAGCAGCTACCTAAGGACATCCCCTGGGATGTCTGGGACAGTAAGAACTCTAGAAACAGGCAGGATGGGGTGGAGCTCAGAGGAAAAAAGGCCCACACTCGTCCCCCTCAAGCCTCACCTGTGCGCTATTGCACAGGTGCTGGGGGTCTCTTCTCTAGGAGGCTACTGCTGGGAGGGTGGGCAGAAGATATTTGAGTGGCTACAGGCGTCAGCGGGTCTGGGGCTGGGGCAGGAGCAGGCCATGTGGAGCACACACCCGCCCCTGGCCAGGGCTCAGCACTGACTCCTCCCACCAGCGAGCCAGGTGAGCTGGCTGCCAGCCTGGGGGAGTCTGGGAGTCCAAGCTGGCACCCGGCCGCCTCCCTCCTCAGCCTCCTCGATCCCCAGCTGCAGCGGTCACCCCCTCTCCCTCTCCTGCCACTCTGGGCTGCAGGGGCCTCATTTTTCAGGGCTGAGACTCTGAACCTGGTTCCTGGCCACTTTCTCAGGCAGCCACAGTCACTCACCCAGGGCAGCACCCTTGGCTCCAGGGCCCAGACCCTCCAGTGCCTGGCTATTGCCACACTCTTCATGGACTCTTCCAGCCAAGGTCCCACCTTGGCCCTTCCTCTCAGTCCTTCTCACCTCCAAAGCTCTTAAAGCCCCTTCCCTCCCTGCCTGCAAGTCACCTGACTGGGAGACCCAAGGCCAGCCCCACCCAGACTCCCCACCCCAACTTTCCCAGTTTTGAAAACATGAAGGGTACAGTGGTCCCTGAGCCTCAGGCCCCTACCTGGTCCCCACCCACACAGCCCAGCTGTGCCACCCAGGCCTGCAGATATGCACACACACACAAACACATGCACAGTAGGGACACATGCACAGCCTCGAACCAGGTATACTCGTGTGTGCACACTCACATACACACAGGTGTGCACACGCACACACGCTCCTGCACACATGCTTCCACACATGCGCATCCACACAACGCACACAGGCTCCTGTGCACATGTGCACCATCCAGTTACTAGCACATCCCGCGCCACTTGACCAGGCTCTGCATGGTCCTTCCTGTGTCCCCAGCCCCCATCCAGGGACCAGCAGCCATGACTCTGGAGCCCCATCAGCCCCTTGAGCTCTCTCCAGGGCAGCATCCCTACCCCACCTGCAGGGTGGCTTTACTTTCCTGCTCCTAAGAACCGGCCGCTAATGTTTCAATCCATTTTTTATAGCCAAGATTAAAAAAAAAAGTCAATTGCCTATTACTGTCAGATATTGGTTAATGATCGGGGCGCGGGGGGTATCCCCACCCACAAGGCTCAGTTTCGCTGGGAAAGGGACTTTCCTCAGAAGGAACCAAGACGCCTGCTATCAGCTCTTAACGATTTGGGAAGGAAAGCTGAGCAGCTCTTTACTGTAATTCAAACAACTAAATTATTCATGGAAAGCTGCAGATGGAGATCGGACAGTGGCCGGACAGACAGAGACCCCTGCCCGGCCTGTGACCAGGCCTGGGCTGCCTCTTCTGGCTCCTGAGGGGTCTGGGAGGTAAGGGGCCCCTGGGCCCCAAGGAGAACTAGAAGAGCATGGCTTTCAGCTGGGGGATGGGCCAGGCAGTGGAAAGGCTCTGGGCCCCACCAGAGGCAGCTAGGGCTTCAGCCCTGCAGGGACCTGTCCTGATGGGAGGAGGGGTCTCACCTGCTCTGGCCAGGGGCTCCAGGGAGGCCAGGTCTCCGGGGGCCTGGGTCCCTACACTGTGTCCCTCCTGCAGCCGGACCCTCCCTTGTTGACTCTGGGGTAGGGGAAGGTAGGGAGGCAGGGAGCAAGGAGACCCCAGAGTTTGTCCTTCCAGCCCAAAACATCCAGCCTGCACTGCGTGGAAGGCCCTGCTCCAGGCCAGGGAGGGCAGGCTGGTGGGAAATGGGACTCTGGCCCTGGCCCTGTGCTTTGGCCTGGAGAGGAGCAGACAGAACTCCTAGAAGACGCAAGCTTTGGCCCAGGGTGGGGCAGGGCCAGGGCGCCGACTGCCCTCTGCTCCTCACACCTCTGAAGTTTCAAGTGCCCCTTCCCAACGTGGAGGGGTTCTGTGGGGGCAACTTTCTCTCCCTCCTTCTTCCTGCATCAGCACTTGAACCCAGCAGGTGCAAGATAATCACTAAAGGAAGGAAGGATGAAGGAGAGGGTCCAGGGGCCAGGCAAGGAGGGCAGGAAGCAGTGGATCAGAAAACACTCAGGAGAGGACCCGAGGGGAAGGAAGAGGAGGGAAACCCGGCAGGAGGAGAGGGGTGGAGGACTGGGCTTGGAAAGTGGGGCCCTGGGGGCGGCACGTGCTGACTCACCGCCTGCCTTCAATTTTCCCTGTTTCCTGGGGATTCTCATTTTATTTTCGGGAAAGCTGCCTGCTCCATGACTAATTTGTTCTTAAACAAACCAAACCCAGGCAGCAGGGAGGCTGGGGCAGGCGGGCGGGGCCTGAGTCACTCTCCGCCCTAGGGGACCACACCTCAGGGGGTGGCCTCCTGGCTCTGAGCCTGGGCCTGTCCTTCGCCCCTCCCAAAGGTCTTAGTGCTCCTAGGAAACAAGGCACTGCCTACTTCTGATGGGGACACCTTCCCCTGTAAAGGACCCAAGCCACTGAGTGAGCTGTTGGCTGTCCACTGCCTAGAACGGCACCCAGCACAGAATCAACGCTCAGCTAATGTTTGTTGAATGACTGATTTCTTTGGTTTCTCAAGTCCTTCTTGAGCCTTTCCTCTCTCCTTCCCCTCTGTTGCTTGCTGTGGGCTTCACAAGAACCCTGTGCTCTGCCACAGCAAATGGGTCAGAATCTGCACAAACCATTGCAGGACCCCGCCTGGCCCTGCAGGGAGGGTCCCTAACCACTTGGCCATTCAGTTTGGGCTGCCTGTCCCTCAATGCGCCTGTGCCCAGCCTACCCTCAGGGCCAGCTACACATCCCCAGCCATGCTCTGTCCATTCTGCAGGAGAAACTGAGGCTCGGAGAGGCACGAAGTCCCCAGGCAGACCCTTCCCTACCTTCCTGTGCCCTCTGCTACCCCACGCTGAGGGCTGAGACCAGTGTCCCAAGGCAGCTGGGCAGGATCATCTGAACACAGACAGGTGGGGGGTTTTCTCCAGCTGGGGCCTAGCCAAGACAGATAGGGAACCCAGCTCCCCAAGATGGGACCTGCGCGCGACAGCTCACCGGCACGTGCAAAGAAACACATTAAAAAACAAAAAACAAAAAACCCTCATCCTACTTAAATTTCGACTTTTATGGATCCATACTATAGACGCCCAGTAATATAGTGTCTATGGTTTATAAATAAATACATACACAGGCTCTGAAACACTTTGCTAGGAGGGAGAATGCTTGCCGCGCATACGTGCTCAATAAATGCCGCCTGACGCAGGCCGGGGGGCCGACGGGCAGGGATCTCCCGGTGGGGACACAGGCACACCAGCCCCTGCTCGGGCCCGTCCCGGCCACCTGCACCAAAGCAGGCGGGACTGCAGGCGGGGCTCCCCGCCTCCGCCCCAGGCTGGCGCAGAGCCGCCTTCCCC